GACGTTTCGCCATCCAGCCAGCCACTGGAAGGCGAAACGTCCACAACAAAGACACCCAGACGCCGCACATGTGTCTTAATTTCATCAGTAGTAGTAGTAGATGGCGAAACGTCTACGATAGAGATGCCCGGGTGTTGCGCATGTGTCTTAATTTCATCTTGTCGGTATTATATATCATTCTTGTACGACTACTACTACTACTACCACCACCTCTTCCTGCCTATATATAGCCGTCCTGCTCCACTTCTGGTTAGTGTGACTTTGTAAATGGTCCAAGTCGGACCGAAACGTCGTCGTAAGCTTCTCTCTTTTATGTGCGGGTTATTTGTGTATCGTTCCAGTCACGGTATTGTGCCTTTTTTTGTTATTTATCGTTTATTTATAGAAAATCGGCAAGTTGTTCAGAGATCGAGTATGGGAATTATACATACACATACATACACACACATTATGCTGTGAATCGACCCCTGCAACCACAAACAGGTGAGTACTCACACACACACACGTACACACTTAGAATCACGTGGCATGTTGGACATCCTCATGTTCTCAGAAACACGCTGGACAAACAAACTCATAAATATGTTGGACTCTCATTCACTCAAAAGCATTATGAACTCTCATAGTCTCAGAAACATGTTGATAAATTAGACACATGTGCAACTCTTGGGTATCTTTATTGAGGAAACGTTTCGCCACACAGTGGCTTCATCAGTCCATACATAGGAGAAACTTGAAGAACAGGAGGAGAATGAGGTAATCAGTCCCTCAACCTTGAGTCGATGTGTTGAGTATTCTACTCAAGATTGATGGAATACTCAACACATCGACTCAAGGTTGAGGGACTGATTACCTCATTCTCCTCCTGTTCTTCAAGTTTCTCCTATGTATGGACTGATGAAGCCACTGTGTGGCGAAACGTTTCCTCAATAAAGATACCCAAGAGTTGCACATGTGTCTAATTTATCAACATGTCGGTTCTCTGAACCATTCATCTACAAATCTCAGAAACATGTTGGACAAAATTTTTCATGTATCGAATAGCATGTTGGACAAACTCTCACATACTGAGAAACATATTGCACAGTCAGACACTCACTCACTCAGAATCACGTTGCACATTCAGACATTTAGACGCAAGTACAGACAGACACTCAGAGGCATTCTATCCTTACCAACACTCAGAGATGTATTGCAGACAGGCATTCAGAAAAAATGTCGTACAGATTATACACTCAGAGACATTTTGATAGATTCGCGTAACACATGAGTAATATAAAGTTATTGATTTTTTACATTTTTAATAATTTGCTTAATACTTTACTTAATTAATTAGTTTTCACTCACCTAATTATCATTATTATACTTCCATTCTTGCTTACCTACATTACATACCCATATCTCCCATTATTTACCAACTTACCCACCACTCACCCACCTCTCACACTATTTAACTACTCACTTTCACATACCCACCTTCCTTCCAGCTGGTGGACCTGGGAGAGCCAGCCTTCAGCCAAGGTAGCATGGGCGGCTGCAGCCTACAAGATGCGGCCTGTGAGGGCGGAGTGGGCGGGTGTGGAGTCCGTGGACGGTGCGTAGGCGGTATTAAGCACCCGGAGTGTGAGTGTGAAGCTGGGTGGGCGGGTTCGGGGTGCAGCACGCCCACTGTACCCTCCTTCTTAGGCTGGGCATCGTACATGAAAGCGGCGCTGTCGTTCTTGCCGCCCCCACGAGCGGTGAGCGCACAGGTGCGCGTAAGAACCCGAGGCGTTGCCCAGGGCCTACTGCTGCGCCTCTCAGCTCATCATGGAGCTGCTGCCTTCACTATACACGTGAGCTGCCTCTTCGTACATCTCGCTATAAAACTCAGAGTAGAGTCAAGCAAAAAGTTATAGTTAGGCGCAGAATTGTAATAAACACTTCAATAATTTGCCTATGGATAAACAATACAAATGAATTACAAGTGGGCTCATTTGTGCACGCAGTCTATATATTTATTTTCAGAATAAACAACTAGATATTTCATTTCAAGTTATTCAGTGAAAAAAGTTCTTAATATCAAGACCGGTTGTCATAATTGTTTATCCAAAAAATTCTTTATTCCAAAAACCTTTATATAAAAATTGTATATGATCAGTATTCCTTTATACTTATAAGATTATATCATGTCATTAGCTGGAAGGCGGAGGGCATAACCCGCAGTAAGTTACCCAAACGTAAAAAGATATTGAAAAGCGTTCCTAAATGTGTTGCATTTGCTTATTTTCAACTTGCTCATTCTTTGTTAAATTAACATTTTTATAAGTTTACGTAAATAGCCTCTCTATCAATTTGTTCATTACCTGCTGTCTGATAAAGAGATACTTCCTGTTTAGAATTCAAATAATTCCTTTATTTTACTTCTTAATATTATAGACTGTGCCAATTTCTGGTTTAAAAACTCCAAATATAATTCTTCATACTCAACTGAGCATGGAGAAAGCGGACGAGGTAATGAGCAGGTTTATAAAAAATAAAACATGTACATGATTAAGGGTTCGACCTTGACTGACACTAATCAATCACACAAGTAGAGCTTACTAAGAATCCAGCCATCCAAAGTCTGAATATTAAGTGAACCCTTTCCCGACAGAGCTGCATTACTGCTAAGCATACTGGTTACTTACCAATCTGATGTCTCTGATGACACCTGGTCCATTATCCAAGCCGTAATACCTAGTACGCTCAGTCTCTGGTGGAGGAAATGCGGGCCGTAAGGCTTGTTACCTATGTGGTCGGCACAGTTACTAAGTAGCCCGCGTACTGACTCCCAGTAGTCTACACCAAATACCACTCTGTCTACGCTAGGTCATTACCTACCTTGAACGAGACTATAGATTGTATTCTGCACTGTACAAGGTTGTAAATATACTAGCATGTAGCGATTCTAGAGATGTTAGGCCAGACAACGAAGGGGTAACATTACAAGGGGCCCCCTTCACTACACCCGACTGTGAATCCAGCGTAAGTCCAAAGATCCACAAATCACTTAGATTAGCCTTCAGTACTCAAACACTGCCACCTTAAATATACACTGAAGTACTATTAAAATTTAGGTTGGCCTCAGCGTCACGGGATGCCCTCGCTAGTATCGTGAACGTCTTACTTGGTTCCTGCTTAGATGAAGACTGAAATCTGCCTGGGGTTTTTCAGATTATCATGGATGACAGAGATAATTAAAGATTTGAACACTGAACAAGTGGTCTGTACCTGTAAGAATGTTAATCACTATGTCATTCATAAATACGAGGTCCTAGACCTGATGGGTCAAGATCTCGACAGGTATATCAAGTCAATTGTGACTTGACGTAAAATGCTATAATGGATAATGTCAACAGTATTTTAGTGTAGTGTAGAGTACCTATTTGCGATAACACTGTATCTCTTCATGAGATTTCCTGAAGATTGTCAGAGCACAACTTGAACAAGTGATGCCGGTTTCACCGGCATCACTTGTTCATTACTGAGGTGTTTATTACGTGAATGAATTACATTGCGTGTTTTCTGAATATACTCCTAAGAGAATGGAAGGGAAGAGAGAGGGAACGATAAAAGTGATTAAGTGGAGTACTGTGAACACGTGAATCAAGGGATTAATTGGACCTTGTTGTGTCACAATAATTAGTTTAACTGCCCAGTAGTAGTTTCGAAAAAGATGAGGCGATATTAATTTCCAGTGTTCATGATTATTAGTGTTGGCATAAAATGTAGGGATGTTTCTGTACACACACGCTGGTCATCTGATTCCAGTTAAATTGTTGATCGGAAGCAAGAGGCTATCAGCCCCTCTGGAGGGCTGAGCCCCTCAGGGGGCTGAAAGGGGCATGTGGAGAAAATTTCTCCACATGAAATTAGATTTAGTAAACAAAAGAGCACTATGTAACTAAACAAACTTATTTATTAATACTACAGAAAGAAAAACTGATTTTTTTTTTATATGAAGCTTCAGATAAATATAGTAGAAATCACCAGCGTTACATAAAATGTAAAACAAGACATTATCGTTTATTTTTAGTGTTGTTTCCTGAGTTTTTTAAAGAGTTAATTCTGTTAAATAAAAGCAAGTATATAATTAACCATTTTCCATGTTCACTGTAGAACTTATAAAAACTTATTCTTGTGTTTCTTTTCCAATAACAAATCCATTAATATTGAAATGCATGAAATATTGACCTTTGATTCAAATATTTCAGTTTTTCACTTATAATGTGGTTAAGGTTTTCTAACTGCTCTCTAATGGTATTGTGAACGACCATCCATGTAAACTGGAAATTTTCTAAATATCTTTTTAGTATCAAATATTTAAAAAGTTTACTAATTTGGCTTCCATTAAATAACACAAACTTTTAAAAAATCAGTTGAGTAGTTGTGTTCATTGTTAAATAATATATTCCAAGTTGATTTCAGATATGGCAATTTTGCTTTATTTGTGCACCTTTATATAACAATAATAAACATAATTAAATTTCCTCAAAACTAATACCATTAAACGATGATGTTACTAAAGCGATTCACATTATATTTATAATTATTTTATTTTTAAAGTAATGATTTGACTCCATAATACATTTCTTACTTATATGGCTATTTTCATAACAAAAGAAGTATGTTGCAGCTAAGGTCAGGTGTGGCTTGCGCCTCAGTGACAGGAACAGGCTGGACAGAGCAGACAGTGTGTGTTGAGGGACGGCCCCTCGCTGACGGCAACTGGCACACCATCATTGCTGAGAGATATGGTTATAACTTAGTGATTAGTGTTGACGACGGGGATGGCTGGTCAAGACGCAATGAATCCCTGCCTCAATTAACCTTGTTGACTCTGGGCCATAAGGAAGGAGATGGCCAGGAGACGTGGCCAGGTACACTTCAAATTGACAAACACGACGCCGTCACGGTTGGAGGGGTACCTGAGTTTGTGGGCGTCAGACTAATCGCCGTTCATCATGATTTGAACCAAAGTGAGTGGTTTTCCTTTCATTTTGATGACCTACAGTACAATGTATCTCTGTCCTGAAAGACTGAATTTAAATATAACTAACATTTTGTCGTGTTTCTGCAGTGTTAAACTTGTATAGAATTTTATAAAACAAATTGTGTTTGCAGTTGTCAGCTCAAAAAATGTATCATGTGTAGAGTCATGTAACAAATCTGTCTAAAATTGCTATATGAGTCTAGAAACAAGCCAATAATATTATGGCTTTCCACAGTGTTGAGAAACTAGATGAGTTTCAGTCTCTGTTCAGCCTAAGAAAAATATTCTGTATTGCACATCCCCTTGGCTTAGCGCTTCTTTTTGACCTTAATAATAATAATGCACATCCCCTGCCCCTTTACATTAATGCACTGGAAAAGAATAGTGCAGATGACAGAAGCTATTAAGGGAGTTCAGTGACTCAGAAGAGTTCGTTATCACACGAACGCTGATATCCTAATTTATTCCATTAATCATTTAATAGAACATACACTGACAAAAAATAATTAAAACTGAAGAAGCGTTCTCTTCTTATCTCAGCGAACAGTAGCCTTAACAGCAGCAGCACATTAACTCTGAAGCAGCTCGGAATTATTAAGGGTTGAAGGGCGAAGTGAATCGGATGAGCACTCAGAAATTATAGTATTAAAACTTGCATTTTAATCCTCTGAGTTTCTTCCACGAAAAACAACAGCGGAATGGAACTTACGACAAAATCAATAAAAAAAAATTCTCTAGTTAAGATTTAGCAGCATTTAAGAATTAAGTATGCATGTAAGTAACAAAGTTTTATGTAAGCTTAGAGTACAAAGCAAAATTTAATTTACAACAGCCTTGAAAGTGCACGGATGTTATGCGCACATAAAAGCACTTTATGTAGATTGAACATAAGATAATTCAATAAAGTCAAACATATCTAATCAGAAGAGACATTCGCTGGTTATTTCACATACAATAATTTGTTTAATAAACTGGTGCACAAAATCTTACACAACCTTAAATAAAAGCGAAGCTTCTTTTAAGGAAAACTCATCAACATTCAATGATTAAAGCTGACCATTAGAGGGGAATAAAGTTAAAACAGTAGGAATCATAAAGCATCTCTGGAATAGGAGGTATTAAGATTCCATCCAAGGAAGGAGGGAATAAGTCCAGTTCCTAGGGTCAAGCGCCCCTCACCAGCATCATGCATAGATAAAGTAAAAATGTTATATAATTTTCCATTTCTAGAGTTCAATAGCAAAATGGCACCTACACATTACAAGTATGCTAAAATTTTGAAACTGATCACCAAGGATTTTCTGGAACCCAAATTTTGAGAATGGTAAAAATGAAATTGAGCAGAGGCCAACTACACTTGTCAATTGCTCCAAGAACCTTCATTTATTAATAGCTGACCAGGACTGAAAATGTGAAGCCAATTTAACAACATTTTGAACTTATAAACACTTGAAGTCAGTGAAATAATTCAGGAAAGATGAGTTCCAGAAATTTTTCGATAAGTGACAGGCGCTGGGATCAGCCTAGCTTCCCTACGAGAGTATTTTGAGGGAGACAACTTCAAGTAGGTGATGAGGTAAGCCTATATATTTTGGTGGCAGAGAAAATAAGAACACCGTATCTAAGAATGTGCTCTCTCAGGCATTACCTTGTAAAATTAATTTAAGGGTTTACTAAACTCTTAAAAATTTTAAACTCCAGAAAAGCGCAAGTTTTCAATATTTCTTAAATTTCTTTTTGCAGTTATATTCTATTTTCTGAACATCTGAAGTTATTGGAGCCATTCCCACATGCTGGGAACGAACCCCTACAGCTTTAGTCATAGGGCACTTTCACACTCCAATTGTCCCTAGAACTTTTACCTTCTGTCTGTACACTGCTGAATATCTGACGACGATAAGGAGACGTCTTCTCATGTTGTGAACAAAATAAAAATGAAAAGCTGAAGAAAGAAAAAATAAATTCAGGTAACCTTTTCAAGGTTGCCCTTCGAGGATACTTTTCTGTGGGTTTTTAATACGTCATAAATAACCGGTTAGTGCTCATAAAGTCATGAAAGAGTTTTGTATTTTCATTGGGAAATTTGAGAGAACTGTTTTTCTAGTCTTGTTTTAAACTATACAGCTCCTTTAGGTGACCTGACATCCTAATAAGAAAAATAAAGCATACTGAGAAGTGGTGAATTGTATAGCATGAAGCGCTAAAGCATCATGGGTCATTCTATGCAAAATAAGGTGCAAACTCGAACATCCATGAGCTAATACATGCCAAGTCTGATCAGGTAACCTTATGTAAACGCCACCGATGTGAAAGATGAAAGGTTTAATTCAAAGTTTGTCTAGGCTTAGGAAGATTATAAGCAGCCTGTGACCAGATTCAAAAGGGTAATCGTTTTGAACTGTGGTTCAACGAAAAGTGGAAGCTGTTGCCAGGGTAAAAAAAAAAAAAAAAAAAAAAACAAGGGAGGAGGAGTGGAAAGCTAGCTGGAGTGTCTTTCCTGTCTAAACTGAGGGTAGTGTTAGCTGGAGCTTCTTCCCTACCTAAACTGAAGGTAGGGCTAGCTGGAGTGTCTTCCCTATCTTAACAGAGGAGAGAGCTAGTCAAAGTGTCTTTCCTATCAACAGAGGGGAGAGCAAGGCAGTGTCTTCCCTATCGCAACCGAGGGGAAAACTACGCGAAATGTTTTCTCTATCGTAACTGATGAGGAGGGGTAAAGTGTCTTTCCAATATTAACTGAGAGGAGAGCTAGCTAGCGTGTCTTACCTATCTTCAGTGAAGGGAGAGAATTCAAGAGTATCTTACCAATATTAACAGAGGAGAGGGAATGCTAGAGTGCCTTCCCTGTGTTAATCGAGCTAGAGCTAGAGGATTATCCCTATCATTAACTAGGATATGACCAGTTAAACCCGCTGTGATCATTCCTGGTCGGTCGGTAAGTTTTCTGGAAGTTGAGCGACCAATCCCGGACAGGCGGACGGCTCACTAATAGTCATTGGGATGTCCCAGGTATATATTTCATGGCGAAATTCTATATTTTGCTCTCTTTTTTAAGTTTTTCTCTTTATCGTTTTTTCATATTTAATACCTCTGATGTTCAATAAATTTATTATTTTTTTATTAACACATCGGCCGATTACCACCAAGACAGGGTGGCTCAAAAAAGAAAAACTTTCCATCAATCACTCCATCACTGTCTTGCCAGAGGGGTGCTTTACACTACAGTTCATAAAACTGCAACATTAAAACCCCTTCTGCCGATCATCGGCAGCTGGGCCCGACGACATTCATATTCGTATGCTACAACATTTACATCAGTCAGCCCATGCAGTCCTATTACGCCTTTTCAATCTTATTTGGTCACAAGGAGTTCTTCCACAGCTGTGGAAATCTGCCATTGTTTTCCCTTTCCGCAAACCGGGTACTACGGGACATGAAGCCTCCCACTATCGTCCCATTGCTCTTACCAGTGCAGTTTGCAAAATGATGGAACGCCTGGTAAATAGACGTTTAGTGTGGTATTTAGAGACACACAACAGTCTCTCCACTCGTCAATATGGCTTTCGTAAGGGCCGTTCTACCATAGATCCCTTACTACGCTTGGATACGTATGTTCGTAATGCCTTTGCGAATAACCACTCAGTTATTGCCATATTTTTTGACCTTGAGAAGGCATATGACACAACTTGGAGGTATAATATTTTGGCCCAAGCCCACTCCTTAGGCTTCCGAGGCAATCTACCATCCTTCCTTAAGAACTTATTAACTGACAGACATTTCCGTGTTCGGGTTAATAATGTGCTCTCCCCGGACTTTATCCAAGCTGAAGGTGTCCCCCAGGGATGTTTCTGAGCACAACACTTTTTCTCCTTGCTATAAATGATTTGGCCTTTAGTCTTCCATCAAATATTTGGTCATCACTCATTGTTGATGACTTCGCTATTGCCTGTGCAGGCGCTGACTGTCACCTCATTACAGTTTCTCTCCAGCATGCGGTCGATCATGTTTCCAATTGGGCCACCACACATGGGTTTAAATTTTCCAGTACCAAAACTCACCAAATTACTTTCACTAGACGCTCTGTCATCTCCGATCATCCTTTGTACCTCTATGGCTCCCGTATCCCTGAACGTGACAGTCAGGTTTCTTGGCCTCCTCTTTGACCGTAGGTTATCCTGGAAACCTCACATTACCTCTCTGAAACCAACTTGTAACAGCCGGCTGAACCTTCTTAAAACCCTTGCTTATCTTTCATGGGGAGCTGATCGTCGAACTCTCCTTCGCCTACGTTCCACCCTCATTTTATCGAAACTTGATAATGGTGACAAGATCTATTCAGCGGCCTCTGCTGCTACTCTCTCTAGCCTTAACCCCATTTATCACCAAGGATTACGTTTATGCCTTGGTGCTTTTCGCTCTTTCCCTGTTGAGAGCCTCTAATGCAGAAGCGAACGTTCCATCCTTATCCGATCGCCGTGATGCCCATATGCCCATTGTCTTCGCTACTATGTATGCTCTCATGATCTCCGCAAGCCTTCCATTTATAGAATATTCACCGATATTAGCAGACATTTTTTATTTGTTCGCCGCCCCTGTTTACTCCGTCCCTTCTCTCTTCGCCTACATTCGCTCTTGTCTTCTCTTCAGTTACCAACTTTCTATGTTCATGTAGCATTTCACTTTTCCCTACCCCCCTGGGAAGTTCCAGCTGTTCGAGTCTGTTCTTTCTCTCTCCCTTGCTCGAAAGCCCAACTGCCTACGGTAGCTTCCCGCTCTTTTTTCTTGACCACTTCCACTCTCATTCTCATGCCATTGCAGTGTACACAGATGGCTCTAAGTCTTCTGACGGTGTAGGATTCGCAGCAGTGTTTCCGGACAGCGTCGTACGAGGGCATTTACTAGATTCGGCTAATATTTTTACTGCTGAATTGTATGCCATTCTTGCAGCACTTATCCGTATTGCATCTATGCCTGTGTCATCATTTGTGG